AGTGAGGCGGTGGTCCAAACCTGTCTGACGGAATCTGCCAGGCTGTCAGGCCCAGGGGAAGGAGAGCACGTGCGGCAACCACGACAGCTGGTGGGAGGCCATGATGCACCTGGCTCAGGCATCTTCACTCCTGCTCCCATTGCTTTTTCGTGTTTTGCTGCTTCTAGATTCATGGACACGTCAGATGGAGGGTGATGTCCATCTCCCTGCATGCACTTCCTTCCCACACACCCAGAGCTGTGGCCAAGGGACCAGCTGGGGATGAAGCTGAACCTGGTTCTTGCCCCATCACCAATATGCACATGACCTTCACCTCTATGGACCCAACACGTGGACCAGTCCCTAAGCTGGGTCCATCTGTCATGGGCCACGCTGTTGACAACCCAGCTCACAGAAGCAAGCCCTAGATCACTCTAGGTGTGTGGTTTTTTTTAAATATATTTTTAAATGGTTGAAGAAAAATAAAAAAAGAATATTTTGTGACACTCTAGTGAAAATTACATGAAATGCAAATCTCAGTGTCTGTAAATGAAGCTCTCCTGGTACACAGCCACACTCACTGGGTCACATACTGCCTGTGCCCTACAACGGCAGAGCCCACTGCTGTCACAGGGGCCCTATGGCCCGCAGAGCCCCAAATATTTACTTTTTGGCCCTTGACAGAAAAAGTCTGCTGAACCCTGTTCCAGATGAAAGAAGTCAAACCCCAGTATCACCACCATTCACATCTGGTGATTTCCTTCTCGAGTAGCTGGTGTCATTCCTGCTTCTCAGGGGTTGGCGGGAACCAAGCCTGTGACTAAGCCTCAGGAATGAGGAGAAGCTGCGGGCAGGCGAGGGGGCGGGCCGGAGTCAGGAGTGTCCTGGCACTGCCCTCCACCCTGCAGGCCCCCAAGCAAGTTCCTTCTACTGCGGCCGTGGAATAACACGCTTCTGATAGAACACGCTCTTGACAAATGTATATCGAATGTCTACGATGTGCCACGTGAGGCAATGCTTGAGATATATATACACACGCACACACAAATACAGATTACACACACACATATATAATATGTAGGGATGTAATATAGGAAACTCTCTGCCAGTTACAAGCACTGTAAAGCATGCTAAGGAGGCAGTGATGGTGAGGAGGTGTTTCTTTAAATAAGGGGGCCAGAAGGGACCTCCCAGGTGATGTGAGCAGAGACGTTTATGAAGCAATGCAGTAGTTATGTCTTCCAGGTGGCGGCAACAGCAAGCACAAAGTCCTGAGCCGGAAACGTCCTGTGTGCGTAAGGACAGAACATCAAGACAGCTTAGGGGCAGAGCCGGGGGTGCAGGTAGCAGAGGGGCCCGAGGAGCAAGCCGGAGGCAGGTGGGGGACTTTCTAGGCCAAGGAGAGGGGTCCAGGCACTATGCTGAGTGCACTGGGGGTGCACTTTGGTGTTGTGAGTCATGGCACAGCGGGTCCTGATGACGTGAAAGGGACTCTCTTGGTTACGCGGAGGCTGGATTGAGGGGTGCGTCCCAATGCCCCAGGAGCTCCTCTGGCTCCTCAGGGCGGGATATCAGGAGGTAGAGACCTCCTGGGAGGCAGGTAGATGTTGCAGCTCTCCAAGCTGAAAGGCTAGCAAAGGACAAGGGTGCCGTGCGCACTGTGCAGCAGAACTCTGAGCAGGTGAGCAGTCGGCCAGGGCGCTGCGGGCCGAGGGGCAGAGGCAGGGCAGGCAGCAGAGTGGACCAAGCATGGTCACGCCGGCCTGATGTCCTCCAGGAAGTCTCCCCTATCCCCAGGGGTAGCACGAGGGCCTTTGTGCTCCACAGCCCCTGGACTCCCGTGTGGGGCCTGGCCCGCGGCGGTGACGTGCGTATCTTCTCTGAGGCCCCTCACTGGTCCAGAAGCACCTTGCTGGCAGGCCCGACTCACAAGCACTGAGCAGGTGGCTAGGAACGGGCGTTTATCGAACCACTACATTGATGCTGGAGCCGGAAGGACGGCTGGCAGCGGGCTGGGGAGGATGAGGAGTGAGGGCCCAGATGCCTAACTTCCCCTTCCACTGGCAAGAACACTGGCCTGGTTTGGTATTCCAGATCTTTCCTTCCAGGGTCTGGGTAACACACCTCTCACCTGTGCAGAGCCTGGAGCTCAACTGACCGTGTGTTCCCGTGGTATGTCCCATGTTCCTCAGCACCCGTGTCCAAACACAACATGCTGTGAGCTCCTCAAAGTCCCTTCGTTTGTGAACCTTGCCCTAACCCCACAGTGCCTAGGACAGAGGCAGAGAAGGGAATCCTCATCGAAGTGGTTTTGCATGAAAAATCGTTAGTCCTGCTAACCATCCTGTGGATATTTACTACTGTGTGAGAAAACAAGGAAAAGCGATCTGACCCACGGTCAAAGACCCAGTAAATAGCAGAACCAGTTTGTGTTTTTAAATCTGCTAGGCAAGGGCTATGCACCTTCCACTTGCTGGATTAGCGATTGAATCAAGCAAAAGTCTAGAGCAGGTGCCTTCAACTACGGCCCACTGGCCACATGCGGGTATTTTTGCCCATTTGTTTTTTACTTCAAAATAAGCTATGTGCAGTATGCATAGGAATTTGTTCATAGCTTTTTTTTTTTTTTTTTTTGAGACAGAGTTTCGCTTTGTTGTCCAGGCTAGAGTGAGTGCCGTGGCGTCAGCCTAGCTCACAGCAACCTCAAACTCCTGGGCTCAAGCGATCCTCCTGCCTCAGCCTCCCGAGTAGCTGGGACTACAGGCATGTGCCACCATGCCCGGCTAATTTTTTTATATATATATCAGTTGGCCAATTAATTTCTTTCTATTTATAGTAGAGACGGGGTCTCACTCTTGCTCAGGCTGGTTTTGAACTCCTGACCTTGAGCAATCCGCCCGCCTCGGCCTCCCAAGAGCTAGGATTACAGGCGTGAGCCACAGCGCCCGGCCTCATAGTTTTTTTTTTAAACTATAGTCCGGCCCTCCAACGGTCTGAGGGACAGTGAACAGGCCCCTTTTAAAAAGTTCGAGGACCCCTGATCTAGAGCATCTATCTCTTGGCTACTCCCCCTTATCCGACACTAATACATGGTACGATGGCGTAGACATCTGCAACAACTTGTGACTCCTTCACACCTGCTCATTGACTATAATAAAAAAGACAGCATGGCAAAAATGTAGAGAAACTGGAATTCTCACACATGCTGGTGGGAATACACAGTGGTGCTACCTCCTTGGAAATCTTCCAATCGGAAGATCCTGAAAAAATTAAAGCTACCAAATAACCCAGCAATTCCACTGCTCAGTATGTACCTAAGGAGATTAAGAACATGGGGACAACACCTAAGTAGACATATAGGAGAAACATTTATCGGGTGTCGGGAGGGTGGGAAGGGTATATACAACCACAACGAATAAGATGTGCAAGGTTTGGGGGATGGACATGCTTGAAGCTCTTACTAGAGGGGGGAGGGGGACGTGGGAAATATAAGTAACCTTAACACTTGTACCCACATAATAAGCTAAAATAAAACAAAATAACGTAAATGAATACAACTAAAAAAAAAAGAACATGAGGAACCGGGGAGTGACTGCTAGTAAGTGTGGGTTTTGTTTGAGGTGATACAAATGTTCTGGGATTAGATAATGGTAATGCTTACGTACTATAAATATACCAAAACCACTGAATTGTATACTTCATGGTGTTTTTTTTCTTTTGATAATCACTCCTGGAAGATGAATTGTATACTTCAAAAGGGTGAATTATTCCAATAAATCTTTAAATAAAAAAACAACCTTGCGGGTTGACTGTCCAGGCTAAGGACACAAGTAGCCTTTACAGGAAGCTTTGTCCCCAGCAGCCACTGGACACCAAACCCGGGGCCTGGAATGTAGCTTGTTCACTCTCAGAGCAGGCAGGAAGCCTGTTTATCTTTTCCTCTAACTCACACATTCCAAAGTCCTGACTCTGTCCTCCTGCAGGAATTTGATTTTTCCTGGGCTCACCAGGTCCCCTTGAGAGAGCCACTGAGTGGCGCGCTCCACCTCAGACGACCCTGGTCACACTATGCTGCGGCACACACGCAGTGCCAGCAGTCAGGGCTCAGTGCTCAGCAGGTGCCAGGAGAGTCTCACACCTGTCCCTCTGGGAAAAGGAAACTATAGGACCATTTGTTGGTGCCTGCTGTGTGCAGGGCCGGACATGAGGTTCTTATTTAGCCTTCAACTGTCCCGAAGGTGGCTCTCCTCACCCCCACTTTACGGTAGATGTTCAGTGAGGCTGTTACCTGTCCCAGCGGGCAAGCGGCACAAGCTCGTCTCCCCTACCAAGCATCCGCCCTGTAGTCTCGATGTCTCCGGGCTTTCGTTTCCTCATCAGTGGAGGGGCACACAGCACGGCCACCACGCGGCGCCATGGAGGCAGCAGAGGCGCCTGGCCTTTAATAAACTCCAGTCTGTCTTCCGCATGGGATGTGGCTTTGTCGGCCCAGGCAGAAAAGGGACAGGCTGGGTGCTCTTTTCCCCACTCTCGGATGCTACACCTCCCTCCGCCCATGGAGCTGTTCTGACCTCTGGCAAAACCCACCTCTCTGCTGAGCTTCTCCAGAACTCGACCCTCACCCTTGCTGCTGTGGTATGGAGACCCACCTGTCCCATCTCCACATTTAAAACCCCTCAAAGGTAGAACCTGAACCGCAGGGTTGGGGTCGAGGGGCTCTGAGACGTCTGGAGGGGCCCACCCTGTCTGCTGAGGCCCTGGATGCCCTGGGAGAGCAGCCAGGCTGCGTCTGCGTCCGGCGTCCCCTGTACCCACTGCACCATTTCAAACAGGCTCCTCCACTGCCCAGTGCCTGCTTCTCGGCGTAGAAGGCGAGGGCAGCTGAAGGCCACCGGGCAGCTTTCTCAAGCAGCCGGGCGTCCTTTCCTCATCCACCCACCAGCCGGGACCGGGCGCCGCATGCAGCAGGGGCTGCAGTCTCCGGCCTCTCCCAACAGCCGCAACAAACCACAGAACACTTGTTTTCAAATCACGTATGGCTTCTTTGACCCCATCAAATAACTTTATTCACACAAACGTCCCTTAATTTACAAAGCCTCAGTCATTCATACATATTAGGGGGATCCACAGTGTTCAAGGAACTTAAATATAATGTATCATACCAACCCAAGTAAACCAAGTACAAAAAATATTCATATAAAGTTGTTCACAAGGTAGGTCCTAGATTACCAGCTTCTGTGCAAAAAAAGGAAATAAAGAAAAATAGATTAACTAGTATTTGAAACTAACTTTGTGCCTGGCTTAAACCCTCCCTCACACTCAAGTCTATTCCACAACAACATTTTAAAAGTCACTGAAATATACGCCCCTGCTCCGATGGAAAGCAGCCCCTAGGCACCAAAGATTTCTTTAGATGCCCCTGAACAGGCTCCCTTCCTCCTGTGGCCTCTCCTGGAAAAATACATGGGGCTCCCCTTCTGATACCCTTGCAATCTTAGGGGCCCTCGGGCAACCAACGGCAGCGGATTCATCTCTTGGTGGTGGCTGCAGATGCTGACGTTGGCCACTCCTACTGGTTACCCACTGAGGGCATCTCTCTCCAGATGGGAGCCCCCAGCCTAGGCAGGGCAGCATCAGAGAGGGACCTGTGCTGTCTCGGCTGTGCTATGCCATGGGAGGATGGCAGAGGCAGTATCTCTAGGCCTTCAGAACCCAGTGGTGTGGCTGCTCTGAGGTTGTCAGGCCCTAGGAGGGGAAAATAGGTCAAGGGGAGGGATAAGAGCCACCAGTGCCCCCAGGTGTGGGGGGAGGAGGGGCGCAGGAGCAGGACTGGTGGTAGGAGGGACACTTGGTGGACAGGGCTGGAAGGGGCAGTATGGAGCCAGGCAAGAGCAGAGAGTTAGGGACCCCTCCCTAGGCGGTGGCAGCCCGACTCTTGCTTTCCCAAATTTCCAAAAGATAATGCAGACATCCATCCTGTTAAGATCTGTCTTCTAAAAGGGTAAACAGCCAATGGCATAAAAAGAAAGATTCCCACAATGCCAACTTTTACTTCTCTTAGAAAAAGATTCAAGCAAAAATAATCTTATTGCTTCAACACTGGTTTTCTAGGACAAGAGACAACTGATATGTTAGAGAGCTGAGAACGCGGGAGGAAGGGAATGATGGAGGTGGGAATGTGCAGGGGCAAGGAGGCTGTAGGGAAGAGGGTGAGTGGTCCTAGCACCACAGGGTGGGGAGCAGAGGGAGTGAGGGGTGCTCGCCTCTGTCCCAGGCATCGCCATACAAGAGGGCAGGCCCTGTCCAGAGAATCACATCTCCACCCAGTGTTGGGCATGTTTCTCCTCCAGCTGTAAACAGGGTATTTCTTAAGTAAACATTAACACACCCCCACAGAAAGGCCATGGGGGCACACCGAATCTGGGTGGGAGGAAAGGATTCCTACTCTACTGTCCCAATGCCTCTGGGATGAGATGAGGCTGAGGCCTGCAACCTTAGTCCCCGGTGCCCAGAAAGGGGTCAGATGGAGCCAGTCTTGAGTGAACAGACTGCGGCATCCTCCTGGCTAGAGGTAAGAGGCAGGGGACCTGCTGGGGAGTAAGAGGCAGAGAGTGTGCACCTGTCTGAAGCACAGTTTTCTATCCTGGGCTGGAGCTGCTAGTGAGTGCCCTGTGCTGCGTGGATCTGGCTACAGCCCTCAGGAAGAGGGCAAGGGAGGCTGGGGTGGGGGATCCTTCCCCCGTGGCTCTCTGGGAGCGGGAGAGAGTGAGAGTGCAAGTGACAGATGAACACAGATAGAAGCCACAGCCTTCCAGCAGAGCCGGGAGGTCTGGCCGGGGGAGGACAATGGAATAAGGCACTATGATCTGTCCTGCTGATTCCTCTCACTGACAGGGAAACCAAGCTCAGACCCGAAACGGCTGAGGCCAAGATCCTCCCTCCGACAGGCCAGCCTTGTCACAGAGCCAAGGAGAAGAGAATGGATGACCCATGTTGGAAGATTTAGAAACTCCTAGAACTTGGACACGTCTAACAAACACAGTGGTGCTGAGATGAACAGGGAGCTGCTGGCAGGCAGAGACCCGGGTGAAGTGGCAAGCAGAGGGCAGCAACAATCAGGAAGCTGGCCCATGGGGACAAGGCGGAGGTGTACTACGAGACCACGGGTGCCAGCCGGAGCTAGTCCACCGACTGGGGCAGAGACAACTACTTGGGCTGATGCCCACGTCGCCAGCTGGGTGTCCAAGGTGGGCAAAGTAGAGAAAGCAGGACAGGGAGGGACAGGCACTTGGGGCTGAAGAGCTGGCCCTCACGTGAGCTAGGGAAGGAGCTCTGTCACCAAGCCAGAGCTGGCCAGGAGTCCCAAAGATATGGGGGGGCATGGAAGTTGGTGCCCTACCATGCTGCCCACGGCTGACCTACAGGAGATACTCTGACACCAAGAGAGACAGCACGGGGAAGCACTACAGCTCTAAGAACTTTAGACAGAGCTACAGCACCTGGGGAGGGCAGAGGGAAAAAACAGGGAAAAATGAATTAACTCGTTAGACTGGAGCCTCGCCGGGGATGTTGGAGCGTGGGCTGCGGCCCAGGACAGAGGGCGTGCTGAGGTTTTCCCGTTTGCTCATGGACAGAGACAGCTGCCCCGGGAGGGGCAGGCAGAGAAGGAGCGTGCACTGTGATTAGGGGACGCTGCTGTTCCATCTTCTCGGCTGCGACTCGGAAGGTACTGAGAAGTCGTTGGAGATGAGAGACGAGCAGTGGCCATGGGCTCACTTGGCCCAGGAAGGGCAGGGCCTGGTCACCACCTGCAGCCCTGAGGGACCCTCCTCACGGCAGCCCACTCTCTGGCCATGAAGAGGAGCCGTGGTGTTGGGGGACTCAGAGGAGGCAGAAACAACGTGAGAACCGTATTGCTGATTCTGGGCTGGTGTTGTGCTGGTCTCGCCCAAACCCTCAGGGCCAAAGGGCTGCTGCTTTGGGGGTAAGGCCCCCTTGGTCACGTACCAACCAAAATGCCCTCCAACTATCTCCCCCACTGATCCTATGCCGGTTTAGGTAAAACAGAAAACAAAAAGGGAAACAGGAGACTTCCTTTCCCCTTCCCCAGAGACATTATCCTACTTGGCCATAGGGGGTGAAAAGCCTCTGGAGTGGCCAAAGTCGTGTCCAGAGAGAGGGGGACAACACAGAACACGCCCCCTCCTCCTTGCAGGGGTGGGGGTAGATGGGTTCAGAGGAGCAGCCTGGGGAGGGTGCAGGAGCGTTGCCGGAGAGTGCGAGAATGGCTACAACGCTGTTGCTAGGGGAGCTGGCAGGGTGGTGGCTGGGGAAGAGTGAGGGCGGCGAGCCCACAGATGGGCACCTAACAGCCACGGGGGCCACCCGGTCCCACGACGCCTCCCTGTTTTAGGCAGGTCCATTCTCTAACCGTCTGACATATTTATACTGAGGGCGGGCACCTAACAGTAAGTCCCTGGGGGAGAGGGAGATGGCGCTGGACAGTATGTGTCACTGTGACACCATGGACCCTGGCACACAGGGCACACCCTTTGCTGCAAGACGGCAATGGCAGCCAGTTCAGGACACCCTGTTATCATGGCAATGGTCACAACTGGATCTTAGGGCCTTAGGCAGTCTGTGACACCTGGACACTTTCGGACATGTCTGGGAAGATGAGAATCTGGGAGATAGTAGGTGAGGGGTGCGGACCTCACAGCAGTGACAGATGCCTGCTGAAGGCCCGGCTGTGTCCCAGGCAAAGAGTTTGGCACACAACAGTGTTTCCTAACAGAAAGGTAGGTTTATAGAACTGGGGTAGGCGCTTCACCGCCAGCAAGTGGGAGATGGTCACCCTCTACCCTCCTCTGACTTCCCAGCTACACGGGGGGCAGAAGAGGGAAGGAATTCCCACCACTGTAAGTCCTGGTGTGGCCAGGGGCTCCCAACAGCTTAAAGAGAACAAAACTCGCAGTTTAGACCTTCATTCTCGAGTTCTCCTTGGCCAACCCTGGTCTTTCTCTTCCAGATGGTTCTTCGCCTCTGCGTCTGAGGCACAAGGCTGGCCAGGGCGGCTGACCACGAGTCCCGCAGTTCCTGCATCTGGTAGGGAGGTAGCCCAGAGGCCTTATGTCTTCATGCCCCGTTCTAGGAGAAACCCCCAAATTTTCTATGGGGAGGCAGGCCTTCTCCATGAAGTGAGATGCTATAAGCAGAACTGAGAGAGGTGTAAAAGAAGGAAGACAAGAGGGAAAGTGAAGGACAAAAACAAAAGTAGCTCCCTAACCCCCTATAAAAATTAAAAGTGAAATTTGTACATATGCCTTGTCCACATTGAATTTCTTTAAAGAAATTGGTGCCTGTCCACAGCATAGCTTCCTGTTCCTCTGAAGTCTTAATAGTTTAAATTAAAAGACAAAAAAGAAAAAAAAAAAGCAAAACTAAAAGGGGGAAACCCAAACAAAAGCTTCACATTGCCCGAGATCCAGCTGTCAGGAGATCGCCAACCGGCCAAGCCACCACCTGTCCCCTCTGCCGTCCTCTGTACGAGACATGGTGAGACTGTGGGTCCCGAGGGATCGACCTGGAAGACAGAAGGCAAGCAAGGAGTGGACATTGGGTCAGTGGGCCTGAGGCTCCAGCTCCCAACCCAGAGGGACGCTGAAACTGTGTGCTGGTTAAGGAGTTTTCTATGTATACAAAGTCAATCTGGCTTCACTACAACTGCTCTGCTGTAGATACATGCTATTATTTTCTCGGACAGGGAAACTGAGGCGCAGGTTAAGTAACTTAGCCAAGGTCACACCGATTACAGGCAGACCCTGGCTGGGAACCCTGGCACACTGGCTCCAGCTACCAATATGATCATGAAGCCCATCCCTCGTTCCCATCCTAGCTTCCCTGTACTGCCAGGAGAAAGACACTGTGGGCCCCACCCTGGATAGCCCGTCCCCAGACCTCGCCAGACTCTCTCATACTTTCCTCCCCAGCCTCTATGACTAATTATGCTGTAATAAACGTCATGGCAACCCCTGAGGTTTAGTTACCCTGTTTTAGAGAAAAGCGAGGCTCGGGCCTCTGAGAACCTGAACTAGGCTACCTGCCAATGTCTAAGAGGGGCTAGAGTCCCACAGCCAGGGCCAGTGTTGGATTCCGCCCCCTCCCCATGCTGCCCGCTGCCGCTGGGGTTAAGGACGAGGGCTCTAGACCCAGAACCTCTGGCCCGGTAAATAGGCCCTGCCACTTGACTGCGGGTGAATTTAAGTCCTCTGTTCCTTGGTCTCGTCATCTGTACCTATGCCATGGGCTACTACAGAAATTAAGTGAACTAATACATATAAAACAGAAGAGTGCCTGATCCTATTAGTATTAGCTATTGTTTGGGAGCCACCTCGGTGCCAGGCCTTAGGAATAAGACAAGTAGCCCGCACTGCAGGGGCTTATTCTAGTGGAGGCCTAGAACACGAGCCTACAGAGAGATTAGTCTCAGGCCAGCCCCCACTCTGAGTCACCCGATCAGCGCTAAGTATAGCCCTGTCCTAGGTGGGGCAGGACATCCAGGACAACGAAGCTCCAGCCTCTCCAGCCTCACTGCAGCTGAGTGCCCAGCCACACCCCAAGCCGACGGGTTTTCCGTGCGCCCGCACCCCTGCGGGGCTCCCCTGCGCCGTGAGGTAGCACCAGCCGCTCTCTGCAGCCTGAGCTGTGTCCTCCTTGCCAGCAGCCCTGCCACCACCACTTGACACCTGTGCTATCTGACAAGATGGCCTGTTGTCCTTGGCTCCCGAGGAGGCGCCTAGCCTCACAAGAGGCAGCGGAGTAGGGCAATGCTGGGCAATTTACTTCCTGTCAGCTCCAGCTTTAGCTTCTTCCTTTGAACACTGGGAGTTCTTCCGAGGTCTGAGTGGACTGGTGACTGTGAAACACCTGGACCACAGCTGGTGCTGACATCCTCAGTGAGCCCACCCCTTCTCAGCCAGCTGTCCCCAACCAGAGACCGTAATGTGTTAGATTTATACAGGCCACAGTTCTCAGCCATTCAACCATCAAAACTGCTTCGAGCTAGCGGTGAGGGTGCCAGGGGAGGGGCACTCCCTATACCACTGGGGAGTGGAAAACGCTTCTGGAAGGCAGTGTGGCAATGGGATTTCAGAGCTTTAGATATGTTTAGACCAGTAGCTCCTACAATTCCATTCCTGGAAGTTAAGCTTAAAGATAATCCTAAGTATAAAAAGGATTTTATGAATAAAGATGTTCACTGAAGTATTACTTAAATTATGAGGTGATAACTCAAAAGTCCAAAAATAAGGAACAATTAGGCAAATGACCCATCAACTCAATGATCTATTAGAGGAAATGAGATAGTCATGTGGCATTTTGAGCATTATGGTAGGATCTACTTCCCCGGTAAGTGAAAAATAGGAGGTTACAAAGTTCTGTGGCATATAACATGACTGTAACTGCCCGAAAAAAACAAACCCTCCAGCGTAGGACAATCTGGCAAGAAATACAACAAATGTCACTGTACTTGTCATGCACAGCTTGTCCTCTTTCCCCACTTCTGATTTTTAATATTGAACACACGCTACATTGTCACACTTTACTTTTTAATAGGAAAAACAGGATACTTTAATAGACAAGAAAAGTTGGCAGCTCCAACAGGAAGGTCCAGACGTGGGCTCTGGTCTGGGCTCTTCCACAATGGAGAATTTTCCACACCTGTCAAACGAGAGAGGTCAGGCTGTGGGATTCCCTGCTCCGCAGCACAGGTGCAGAATGACCCAGTGTCTGTGTGGAGGGAGGTGGGGGTGATCAAGGCACTGGGGAAAGTGTGTGATCTGAAGAGAAAACAGCATTTCTCAGGCCCAGCCTTTTACTCTGGCTGCTTCTGTTGCTCCGTCTGTTAATCCCTCTTAACAAAAATCCATCTGCGGGTCTTGTATCCTAGATTTTGACTTGGAAAAATAAAATGACCATAAATATACTCCCTGAAGAGGCAGTGGCCATCTCAAATCCTACCTTTCTTTATTTAGCATGCCTGTTGCTTTCTCTCTGAGCTTTCAGTACATGAAGCAGATCAACCAGAAGATGAAGGAAGGTGTTTACAGGAACCCTTATTATCTAATGACAAAAAAGCCCAGGGAAATTGTATGGTCACATGTGATGTCAAAGTCATCTTTGGGGACCAGTTATGGCTTTAACATTCCTTTCTTCTCTCTGGTAGGACCTAAGCTGAGGACAACTTCCTCAAAAGAATGCCCCTTAGCAGGAGGGAGCACAGAGCAGCTGAAAAAGTGTTGACAAGGAAGCAGAGACATTCAGAAGCCAGAGGTCCCTTTTTACATAATAAACAGTAGAACAGAGTGTGATTGCAGAAGGTCAAACCAATAGCACAGTACTCGGCAGGAGCTCCTGAGACAGCAGCCTGTAATGACCGCTATAATCACGGGTCCCTGCCAGGATGTGAGGCTGACATTTCCCAAAGGCTCCCCCGCCCTCCCTCCAGCTCTGGCACTGGCTGTGGCCCTCCCGTTGTAGGCCTCGGGACAGTCCACAGGTCTGAGTCTGGTTCTCCCTTGTGTGCAGGGAGAAGAAAAATAAAAGGGTTCTCTATTACAGAGAGAACCTCGGCTTTGGGTTCCTCTCCTATCTCCCGTCAGAAAAGGTTCTAACAAGGGAATGGGCCCAGATTAAGAGATGAAGCAACTTGCTGGACATCACAGAGCTGCTGAGCTGCAGAACCAGCACTTAATCCAAACTTTCTAGCTTCACTGCCCAAGGTCTTTGCACCCTGACAGTCTTCATTTGGTGCTTTCAAGGCTGGTTCTGAGAGTGTGCATCCAACATGGTCTTCGGGGCGGAAGGTGTCAGTGTATCTGGGAAGGTCTGCTTGCAATCCTTACTTTTCTCATTTCAGTTCTTGGACTAAATTCTCTTAGCATATTCCTCATTCTTATTAATCCTCTATAATTATAACACAATCGCTTATTGAACAGTTAATATGTACCAGCCAAGTTCCAAGTGCTTTGTAGGTTAAGAACCCAGTAAGGCAACTTTCAACTCCCCTATGTTGCACTCCAATCACTGTGTCCCAAAAAGAATTGAGTGTTTTACATCTATTGCTTCCTTTCACCCCAGTAACACTCTAAGGCAGGAGCTATTGTCACTAAGTCTTACAGATGAGGAAACGGAAGCTCAGAGAAGGGCCACAGAGCTAGCAAGTAGCAGAGAAAAAGGTTTAACTCCGGGCAGTCTCTCTCCAAAGCCCCTGCTTTTGACACGTAACTATAAACACGTAAAATCCCTTCCTAGAGAGATAAGAACTTAAGTAGAATTTAAAACCCATTTAATCCCTTCATTTATAAATAGAATTGCTCAGAAAAATGCTCCTGGGAGGCTTGGCTTAGGTGCCTGTGCACAGGTCTGGTGCTCAGGGCACAAAGGGGGTCGTGGTGCCAACCTTCTGGCAAGTTCCTCCGCCGGCCAGGCAACTGTCTGGTCTAAGGACACAGGGGAACCAAACTGCTCCCATTAAGGCCATCAGTAGCTTGGAGAACAGAGGCTGGGAGAGCTGAGGTGAGCAGGGAACAGGAGGACGGGGCTGAGGATGAACATTCAATGCGTCCACCTCCTTCCCCCTTCCTCAACCTGCAGGCACAGAACACAGTGAACAAAGTATTAGCTTTCGTTCTAAGAGCACTTGGCCTTCCTACCTCATTGGTGTCAAAATGTCATTTCTTTAATGAAATGATGATGAAAGTTAACGAGAATGGCTTAAATTGTCCCCCTCCCTGGGCTTTTAAAATTGTACTATCTTAGGAAATGTATTAAGTCTGATTACCACATATATCTGAGAGTCATATGGTTTAAAACCATATTATAAACTCAGCATCCTGACCCCAGTGCTCTATCAGGAAAAGCACACATGCTTTATGGCAGACGGTCCTGGGTTCAAATCCAAGCTCTTCCAACCTCAGCTGGATGGAAAGAGAAAAGAAAAGAGAAGGAGGGGGAGGGGGAGACAAGGGGGAAAAGAGAGAAAAGGAAAGGAAAGAAGAAAAAAAACCCCAGAAAGCCAAATGCGAGCTCTACCACTTACTAGCCATTTTCATAATCTGAGCTTCCTTTTCCTTTCTTAAAAATGGAGATGACATTCTGTACCCTTTTGGGGCCTGCTAGTAATTGCCTATCATACATCTGGGACAGAGTGAGGCACTCAGTAAGACCTACGCTACTATTTGTGTTTGTGGTCATTTTGGTTCTTAGGGTGTCACAGATTGCACTGTCCATCCTATCTTGAGTCATGGCTTAGTTCAGGAACTTCCCTGAATACAGAGACGAGAGAATGAAGGAAGCAGAGGGCAGCTTTCTAATCCCCATTCAGAAGGACATAAGCCTCTGTCCCACCATTACCACAATGGCCCCATGGATAGCCAGATGGTGGCAGAAGTATTCTCAGCACCTTTCAACCTATTCACACCCAAAGGATTTCTGAAGCCCAGATGAAGGAGCCTGCGAACTCAGAACTCTGCAGTATGACCTGGCTGCTTGCTAGGATCCATTCTGTGGTACTGCACCAAAGCA